CACACAACAGAGGAATCCACCTTGCTGCTCTTTAGTCCAGCCTGAGTAAAGTGCAAGAGCTACCCAGGACACTGGAGTTTGCTTGAGAGATTATAGCTGTAGCCTCATGTCAACAGCCGATTTTAAGAGGTTAAAAGTGTTTTTCAAACTTTTATTTTTTGCAGCATTTCCTTACAGTATGACTGTTCTGCAAATCAGTGTCTTTTTGCACTTTTGCACTTTTAATTAAATTTAATTACATAATTTTTTTGCTTTTGGCACTTTTAATTAAAGTGCAAAAAGAAACACTGGGAATGATGTTAAACTGTTGTGATTTGACCTGTCCTGGGTTCCTGGGTAAACCTCTTAGTAAGCAATTTGTTACCGCATTTATGAAAAAGAAGGAAAGAATAGAGTGCTAAAACCAGAATTTGGAACAGTTGTTTTAATTCTGAACAGCTGCTCTGTTTAACCATCCACCTCTTAGTATTGTCATCAAGCATTTTTTGTGACAAAGATGCCGCTCATATACACACACGTGCAACGGCTTGTGATGGAGACTCTCTTATTTGCCTGCAAACATTTCTGTGGGCTATTCTTCCTTGATTGTATACTATTCCTGGGAGATTCATTGTAGTCTTGATTAGCCATTCTCAACCAGGTGGTCAGCAGGCATCAAACAGCCTGCAGGATGAACTGACCCAACACAGAATGCAGACTGTGGAAGAAGACATGCACAATACTCTCCAGGTGCGTTGCATTTGATGGACACTTGTAAACAAAGGATCTTATCTTTAAAAAAGGAATTTTTGACTGCAACAAATGATAGAGAGAGATCAAAGAAATTTGTACCAAGGTGTTACCTTCTGTTAAATGTGATTTTATTTCCCTTTCCTCTCTTCCTTGGATATAACTACATAAGAAAATTTCCCCAACAAAGGATTTCAGAGGCTTCTCTGTTTTTGTTCTCCTGGCCTTTCAGAAGTTCTTTCTCTTCTTTTCCCTGTATATGGACATAAAAGGCTATGCTGCAGAGCTTTACATACAGTTTGGAAATAAATAATGGATGATTGACTAAGCTGGTGACAGACTGTAGCAGCAGCAGCAGCTGTGTATGCTGGAAGCTTGCTGCTGTTTGGGAATTCTGCAGTTGAATTAAGGCAATGAGGGATCTCTTCTGTTCACAGGGGATTGACACCATTTTCATCACAATAGGAAATAGGTGAGGCTTGTGCTTTGGCAGGAAGGATTTGATGAAACAACTCTCACATAGTCAGCAGTCCTATCAACATGAATGAATGCACAAGAACTGGACTGAGGCCTTATATGCTATACTGCTTTCCAAACTGATACCTAGTTTTCAATATATATTGAAACTTGCTTCCTCATAGCAGCCTTTATAGTTCCAATTTATGAAAAGCTCACCTAACAGCATAAATGCTACAGTGGATTCATATCCATCTAGAAGAATCATAGAATGGTTTGGGTTGGAAGGAACCTTAAAGATCACTGTGTTCCAACCTACCTGCCATGGGCACGGACAACTTTCACTAGCCAGAATTGCCAAAGCCCCATCCAGCTTGGCCTTGAACCCTCCTAGGGATGTGTTCTCTAGAAGCTTCTCTGGGCAACCTGTTCTTGTGCCTCACCCCTTCTCACCAAAGACAAATGTCTTCTTTATGTCCAATAAATCTACCCTCTTTCAGTTTGAAGCCATCCCTCCATGTCATAACACTACCTGCCCTTGTTAAAAGTCTCTCTCCAGCTCTCTTCTAGCCTCCTTTAGGTACTGAAAGGCTATAATAAGGTCCCCCCCTCCAAGCCTTCTTTTCTCCAGGCTGAACAACACCAACTCCCTCAGCCTGTCTTCATAGGAAAGATTCTCCAGCCCTTCAATGTCCCACTAGAGGCCAAGTGCCCAGCTTCCTCAACTGTCTCAGGAGCCTTTCCAATTTCCTTACAGCAATATCCTGAAATGCAGATAATCTGTTCCATATGCCTGTAAATTAATTGTCTTACGTGCAGGCAGAAACAATGGTACCTGGAGGAAGGCTGGGATAGCTCACAGATATGTAAGATCCAGTATTTTTCACAATATTTACCATTTCCCCCACATCTTCCAGCCAAGAATAGGACTCCAAAAAGACATTTTTCTTCAGGTAACCTGTGAACAGGAAATTATGGTTTAGTGAGTCACAGATCCTAAAATATCCTATGAAGCATGTGACATCTGCATAATACTACTATTAATAATAATTAAGCAATGTAAGTGTATGCTTTGGAACATGCTAAGGAAAGCTCAGTGCGGAGGAGGAGAGACAGGCACACTCAGGCAGTTTTGGATACTCACAGCACCTGGGGGCATCCAGATAGACAGGTACACCCCATCTATTACAGACTGGGAGAGATAAGCATGTTCTGCTTCTGTGGTCAGAAAATCCCTCACCACTGAGCTAAAGACAGGCACGATAGCTAATACTGACCAATACCATGACCTCATCTCATGGCACACAGGCAATGACTGCAAACTGGCTTAATTTTATCTGAATGTACGTATGCTTTATTTCACAGTTCAGTGCATCAATTTAACATATAAACTTACATTTCCTGATGCTTTCAGGTTCCTGTCATGTTTTCAAGCTGAATATCACTAAAGGTGTTGACCACTGGCAAGCCTGTATGAGGAGCCTAGTGGGCCTGAGATAGCTGAAATCTAGATCTGAATATCACATCATATATTAAATGAAATGTGAGGTACCTCTCAAGCATAAATCTTGTCTGACTTGGAAAGGTGACAGCTTCTCATGTTTTCCTCCAACCACCACATTCCTCTTGAAAAGCAAACAAACAAACAAAAGCGGTCTCTTATGCTGTGGTCAGTGTGGTGACCCCTATGTCTGGTGTGATGTTTCCTAAATATTTTAATACAGCCAACACTACCTCTCTCCAGGAAGAAGGATCTGGTGGACTAAACTGACTTTTGCCAGTCATCCTGCACATCTTATGGCAGGTTTGAATTCTCTGGCTGAGAGATCCAGCTCTCAGCTGAGGGATACTCTTTGCTATCAACAAAGGGTCTAAGATGGCCAATAACAGCAATCATTCAGACATTTCTGTTGTGGTATATTTTGGGATTTACAAGGTTGTGGTATTCATCCTCATAGGCACCAGCAATGTCAGGAAGAGAGTTTGGGCATTTCTGGAAGAACTACAAGGTGGAAAACTCATTTGGGTGCTTAAGCAACATTTGGGACTAAGCCACAGTTTGGTATGTTCAGTATAGTTCATAATGCGAGGACCACCCAGTTTTATCACTATTTTGTGACCATTTCTGACCAGATCTGTACCCATAATGCCAGTGGCCACTGCTAAACTCTTTTGTAAGAAAACTTATACTTTTCATGGCTTGTTTCAGACCACTGTTGATAGTAACCAAAGGAAGAAATCGCAAAGATCCCTTAAGCAGAGGGGGTGGGAGAGGAAAAAAAGTCACGTATGTCTCAGTGCCCCCTATGCCATGTAACTCCATGGGCTCAGGCAAATGCTGAAAAAGGGAAGCAACTACTCCCAATGTCACTTTGCTACATCACCCTCCAAGAAAACATCTCCTTCTTCGATAGCTTCTGCAGCTGCTCAGATCTCAGCAATTAATCCTTTGTGGCATTCTCCTTTCCTCTGGCAAAGTCAGCGTTCCAGCACAAGAGATATATGTTTTCCCTGTGAATTCTCCCAAGCAGCGATCAATAATGGTACAATGAAACCTCTGAAATTACTTAAACTTACTTTGTGTAATATGACTAGCAGACAGATTAAAACAATGTCCCAACAGGAATTTTCCTTCCTTAATATTTAGGTTCCACACATCAATTCCACTCTAGCTACTGTGACTAATATCCACCACCGCCACACCCGCCCCCCAGGATTTCCTGCTTCTAGATCACATGTACTTGGAGCAAGATTTGTAAGTAATTTATCTCACTCTTGGCTTGAGGTTCCTGAAGATGCTGAGCATCCATTTTCATAAAGTAAGATTTCTTGAAGATGTAGCTAGTAGGGCACCTGGAAATGAAAGCACTTGAAATCATGTAATCACCGTTGAATACCTTAGCTATAATTTCTCTTGTGAAAGCATTTTGAAAATTGTACTTCTATCACAATCAGCGTGATGCTATTTGCTTCTCCTTGTGGCTCTGACTTTTGGATTCAAGTGAGTGAATGTCCCACACTGTGACCACAACCTCAACAAAGTCCAGAAACTTACCAGCAGGGACTAACATTACCAGTGCATAAAGCACAACTCATTGGCCCTGCTAACAAGGAATTATTAATGCAGAACTGCATTAATACCTTTACATGGAGCTATGCCACACAGCTATCGCAGTTTGCCCAGCACTGCAACACCACATGCCACCACAGTAGGCTGTACATACCCCAAAAAGAAACTCAAGTCTCCATTTTAAAATGTTCTCATGGTTGCAGAGAGAAGCTTGAACACATTGCATCACAGCTGCAGCCTTGTAAGAGTTGCATGGGTGATGAAAAGATGCATCCCAATATATTATTGAGAAAAAAAATTCACAGTGTTTTTTTTTCATCTATCCTCTAGATTTTAAGCATGTGGTAAGACCTACAAAATATCTTGGCTCAACAATGCATGCAAATACATCCAACTATTCTAATATTCAATGCAGACATGGTATTAGGCCTAACAAAACAATGCCTCATGCTCCACACAGTTTTTCTGCTGTTGGTCCGCAGCAGGAGAGTCACTCCCCACTGATACCCCCAAACCAGGACATGTTGTAGGCATCAGTGAGCATCGACCCATTTTTCAGCAGCACATCTGTTTCAGGAAAATCAAAGTCCCTGAGTTACTGATGCCAGGGCAGTTACTGGCCCTTGGGTTCTGCTGCCCTGATGCAGAGCACATGGGAGATTTCATGGTCTGGCACTTTTGCCCAGTGATACAGAGTATACACACCGAAAAACTTCAAGGGACCATGAACAGGTGTTGATGGTGGATGGCCACTGGTGGGATCTGGGAGAGGAGATGGAGCCGGGAAACTGGGATGAGGAGGGGAATGGAGGAGGTGGAATCCCAGGCTGTCGACAGAGAGGCGATACCCTCAGATGCGGGAGAGCAAGGCACAGGGGAGCAGAAGGGACCCGACTGTGGGGGCTGGAGTGAGCTCAGGCGCAGGGAGGGTACGACGGCGGGCGGGGGTCTGTGGGGTCAGCCAGTCCGGGGAGCTGAGTGTCCCGGCGTACGCTCGCCCCTTGCCGGGCGGGCGCGGTGAGCGGTGAGCGGAGCCGGCGCATCCCCACTCCCGGGACTCGCCCCCGCCGCCCCGCGCTGCGCTGCGCTGGGCGGGGGTCGCAGCGGAGCGGGGGGGCCGCGGAGCGGGCGATGGGCACGGCCCCACCGGCGGTGCCCAGCCGCGGGCGGCGGCGGCGGGCAGCGCCGAGCCGGGCGAGCTCATCGGACGGGCGCTGGATTTCAAGAGCGAAGGGGCGCAGTGCTACAAGGACAAGAAATTCCGGGAGGCCATCGGCAAGTACCACCGCGCCCTGCTGGAGCTGAAGGCGCTGCTGCTGCTGCTGAGCCAGGAGCCGGCCGGGCAGCGCCCTCCCGCCGCCTCCGCCGCGGCGGGGCTGAGCGAGGAGCAGCGGCAGGCGGTGGAGGCCATCGAGGTCGATTGCTACAACAGCCTGGCAGGTCAGCGGGGCCGCGGGCGGGGGGCGGCGGGTCCCCACCTGCGCCGCGCACACCTCCCTCCCCCTCCGCAGAGCAGCGCTCCGCTCGCCGCATCTCCTTCCCTTCCGCTGGCTTCCATTTTCGCGTTCGCTCTCCCGCTGGGCACAGCCGTGTTGCTCCGGGCAGCGCTGGGGAGGAGGCGCACGGCCGCTCCAGGCGCTCGGGATCTCCCGCGACCCCCAGCCCTTTTCCCGGGCGGCTCCATCCGCCTCCGATGAATGCGTGCCCTCCTCCCCCGGGAGACAGGTGGCAGGGCGGCAGTGCGTGCGTGGGGCGCTCCGGCTGACAGAAATCGTGGATCGCGAAATGGCCAAGATTGCCTGCTGCGCTGTACCCTCATCCGCGATGTCCTTCAGTCCCTTCGCCACAGCTCCGGCCCTGGAGCCTGTAATTAATGGTATTACAGAGAGACGGACTCCTACCACATTTGATGTAAGGAAGGGGAAGGGTTTGGGCACAACTGCAGTACCTCCACATAGTTCTACCAGATATAAAAGTAATTTTTTGGCTTCTTAGCACTGAAAGTTGAAAGCCAGTACAGTCCTGGCTTTTCACTGGCTCCCAGTCATCACTGTGGCCAGTAGACATTTGATCGTACCTCCCTTTGCTCCTTGCCATCTGTTTAGAAGTGCTGCAGGAAGATGGAGAGGGGTGGTGGGGGGTTTAACTACTTTGTAGTCTGTAGTCTGATTTTGAAGTCCTTACAGAAACAGAACTCCTGTTGACTTCAAGAAGCTTTATCCAAACAAGTGCAGGATCAGATGTTATTTTTGGTCCCCAGCAGCACATGTTTTTTTTCGTTTCAAACCTGAAGGCACCTCTACAACAAAAACTTGTGGGTAGGTACATACAGGGAAGAGAGCATTCATAACTTGGACAAGATACACAAAATAACAGCATTAAAAAGCTCTGCTGTTTTCCAGAAGATTGAAGGGTCACTCATCACCCTTTATATCCTTGGGGTTAAAAAATGGCGCAAATCAGGACATGAGCTTTTGGCTTTCTAGACAGAGTTGGTTAGCTTTGTTTCCTGCTCTCTAGTGCTGGAAAAGATGCAGTATAAAGTGAATGGTTTGAAACACCAAGCCAGCATCCTCTCATCATAATGCATGCCAATCTCTTACATTCAACATGCCTTTTGGGATGTAATGGGGAGCACGATTTAGCTCCTTTTCATCATGTTTCCAAATACTCTTCCTTTGAAAGCCTATTGAAATCTCGTAGGTGGAGAGGCAAGTGAGATTTGAGAGAGATACCATAATTGCACAGATGTAATTTTGTCTCTCTACAAATTTCTGTTCACAGGTTTATTAAAATCCATTGATTGTATTTGGCAAGGATCATTTAGACTGGCAGGGTTACACAAAGAGCCCGTAATACTCTGAACAATATAGCTTGGTGAATTCCTGGGCTTGAAAAAGGGCTCACAGGCACGGTCTCTGTTAGATACAAATGAGACGTGGTAGGTAGACAGTAAATGAAGTGGGAGAGAGAAATGGAATTTGCTTCTGAGGCACATTCTGCCAGTACACAAGTTCCACTTGCTAGAAATGTCTCGACTCCTGCTGATGGAGTTGTCCTATGTCATTATCATTGTCCAGCTCACTTTTTTACAGTTTCATGTTTGTGCAAGGAATTTTTGTCACTGTTGGTTGTATTTGATCTTGTCAGCAGTAGCAATTGGTGTGAGAAACATTCTCCATCTTTATCCTAGATATGAACAGATTTTTCCCTAAATTTAACCAGTATGAACACAGGAGGAGGTGAGTATAATTAACCCTGGACTTACAAGGAGTACTTTTCCTGGGATAACCTCACAGCAGGTCAAGCTGTCATTTTGCACAGGCGGTTGTCACATGTTTTCAGTAGATGGCATGCACAGAGCAGAGAACAGCATTTGTCTCAGAAATGCATAGCTTTTTGTGTGTCTGCTGAGCTATCTGCAAGCAATTTTAAAGAAATTCCCTGCATGCTGGAGAGGGGAGTATGCTGTTAAACTGGAATTGCAGTGTTTTTATTCCTAGCCCAGTCACAGAGCTCCCACTCTAGCAGGAGGGTCAGTGAATTCATGTTGAAAGAGAAAGGAAGAGAGGAAAGGGAGTTTCCCCAGAAATGTAACAATAACTATATTTTTCTAATAGCAGCTTCAAGACGTGCAGCAGTGAAACTTCATTTTCTAAGTGTGATGCAGCAGAAGACACCAGTTTCCTTACACTGTGAGCTCTAGCAGAGGCACCAGCATGTACTGTTACAGCTGAAATCAGTGTTACTTGACATGGGGAGCAGAGAAGATGCAGGGAGTTTTGCTTCTGAGCACTGCTGGCTGCCTAGAGCTGTTTCTAAAATAAATAAATGTGCATAGTGCAGAAAGCATAACAGCAGTACATGTTAACTCTGGAGAAGGCAGCTTTTCACTTAGCTCTGAAGTATAGCCGACAGCATTATCAGCTGTCATCTGAGTGTCCTTATTATCAAGTTCTTTTAGCACCTCCGCTGACTCTCTAAGCCTGGCATTTGAGAAGCCCACCTTGCTTTTACACTGTCGTTTTTCATGTGGGCACCACACATCCACCTGTCAGAGATGCTTTGCATCACAGCTACAGATGCACACACACATTGACTTGTTTAGATGCAGCATGAGAGTTAGAGGAGAGCAGCAACTATAGGTAAATATACACATAGGTGAGAAATAAACCCAGAGGGGATTTTGTGTGATCTCATGGGTAAAGGCTGGCGTTGTTAGTTTGTTTTTTTTTTTAAATCTGACCAATTGCATGAGTAGGCACATGTGGGCAAATACTAAACGGTTTTCAGTGCCTGTCGTTGCCTGCTGAAGGTAAATTTAGGCAGAGATGTGCACACAGATTCTTGTTTAGGTCCACTTGTTTTGTAGAGCACCTTCAACAGGCAATTCTTCTATAAGATGGGGTGGCCAGCTCACATATTTATTAAAAGCCCCCCAATATTTGGTGTGTTTTTCAAGGTCTGCTGTTGTAGAGCTGCGTGGCACATCCACAGCCTAAATTATTTAGCCCATTTCAAAGGATCCCAGATCTGCTGGTCTTAAGTTCTTGTGATTTTTTTTAAATTACTATTTTAAATCAGCCAAGGATTTTCAGAACTTGCCATTGGCAGAGTTGCTCATGTTTCTTTCACTAAGCTGCTAGCTGGGCTTCATTTTAAGCTCCAAGACTTTGCCTTAAAGGGACTGCCCTTCACAACTGTGCTGCTGCATTCTTGCATGGGCCTGCCAATACCCCATCATTTTACCACAAGTCATTCTGATGAATGTCACCAGAGGCAAGAGCAGCAGCATGGCCAAGGCTCCCAGAAATTGCTAGGGTAGGCAAAGACAAAAGCCTTACCAGCAGCGGAGAGCCTTGCGGAATGAATGCAGGGTTGTAACGCAAACAGTCCTTTCTTTATGACTCACTGGCCGTCTCTGACCTTGAGGAAGTCATTTGACCTCTTTTTGCCTCTCTCAGCCCTGTTGAAAAATAAAGAACAGGGACCACAATCTCATCTTTATGGTGCATTCAGCTGAGTTTTCTACAAGCTAGTGGTTTATGTTTTAAAAAACAGATAGATGTACAAAGAATGCTTGTGGAAAAGTGAACTGGCCAAATACACCTCAGGTCTTGATCTCCTTTCCGCTCATACAGCATATCTGATCTAGAAGCTCAAATGCTTTACGTACTGCATGCAGATGGGGGTCATTTATCAACTACAAATGCAACCATTAAATGCAATGATTATTTTATGCCACCATTACTGCCTAAAAGTTTACAGGATTAAAAGCACTATGTCTACTCTGCAGAGAGAAACAAGTCCTAGTCATTCCAAAGCAGCAAAATGCTAAGGGTAAGCATAGTTCTAAGCTTTTCTGGTGAGGGAATGTTGCAGTGTGATAAGCAAACCTCTGTTGATTTTCCTAAGCATGCAGAAATTCTAGAGCTAATTCTGGCAGGAGAAACGGAACCAGAGAGAGATCTGGGGATGACGAGTGGCACTGGGGGATCTGGTTGCTAATCCTCCCTCTCTCTGCAAACCAGCTGTATTATCTTCACCAAATCTTTTGTAAACTTCAGTGTACCCATCTGCATTTTTGACCTCCTGGAAGTACTGTAAAGCTGTTAATTACATGAATGTAAAATAGATATAGAGTCTTTATATTCCCATTCAGGTACCTGTAGTTTACTACAGGAGTCTTGGCAGAAAAGCACAAATGCCTGGACAGCGTATTAAAAATTTAGCTCTCCTAGATACATCTCAGTCTGGAAAATGATGTTTGGCTTCTTACACTGGCAGAAAATTTGCACTGGTACCATTCCAATGGCTATGTGAAGCTCATAGTGACAGTCCCACAGAACATGACACGTCCAGCAGCACAGGAACCTTCTAGCATCCTCAAGCTGGGGTGTAGGTACTACTTCCAATTACCGTCAGTTGCGTGGTCTTCTGTGAGTAGTTCCAGTGAGAAATCCAAATACAAATACTTATAATACGTAATCCAAGTAAAAATGTAACTAAGCTCGAGAAAAGCTGGTAAAACTTTCCACTGACCACCCACTAGGAGACGTCAAAAGGAGTTTCTGCTAAAAGCCCATCCAAGTATATAGCCGTTAGCAAGTACAGACTCTACCAGGACACATGGTGCTGTGGGTGTTAAAGCAGTCTTGGATTGTTGCTTGATGTGATTTTTTTTTAAATGTACTGCATCAACAAAAACACCCTCTACAAGCATGCCATACAGTGGGAAAGAGGGGCAGCAGCAAACAGAGCAGCAGGATGTGGTCTGCATTTTCACTTTTTGGCAGCGGGTGTTTCCTGACACTCTTGTTTTAGATACATCTGACCAGCCTGAAATGCTTGGAAACTCCTTGTTTTACAGGATTGATGCAATTACTGCTCTAGGGAGGGGCAACTGCAGCAGAGAATAAACACCAATGACTGTGTGTGGT